GTACATTGATGTCACATGTTTTAATGAGAGTCAGAACTGATTTGAATTATCCATTGATGTCACACATTTTGATGAGTCAGAACTGATTTGAATTATACAATGATTTCACATGGTTTGATGAGTCAGAACTGATTTGAATTATACAATGATGTAACATGTTTTGATGAGAGTCATAACTGATTTGACTTATACATTGATGTAACATGTTTTGATGAGAGTCAGAACTGATTTGAATTATACATTGATGTAACATGTTTTGACGAGTCAGAACTGATTTGAATTATACAATGATGTAACATGTTTTGATGAGTCAACTGGTTTGAATATTACGTTGTCATATGTACTAATATGCATCAGCCTGGACTTGAATTATATATTGCACCATTCTTTAGATTACAGTAGTATGTAACTATCACATGCAACAACTAGAGCTTAGATTAGCTGCATATTCGTCACCCGCACAGAAGACCAAGCAGGAATTGATGACACTAGGAGACATTTATTTAGCAGTGGTGAGTATTACTTGGTTTGTCACCACCATTCTTATCTGCTGTTATTTTGCACAGCATATGAAGAGATAATTATGTAAACTATAAACAGCTTGACTTTTGCAAGTAACAAATTATCATGATTGTAAGACCAATCTGTCTATCAAATGTAAGGCTGTCTAATAAATTTATTGTGATTTGCTTATGTTAACCAGGCCTTTTCTCTTCGCTAATGATGATTTTTGTTTACTCCTTAGTTAGATGGATTCATATCATCATATGCCGTCTATCAATCATGTCTTAGAATGGCAGAAGAAAACTTGGCGGTGAAATTACAAGTGGTAATTATAAAAACCAATTATAGACTACTTTAGATCTTTTCAATCTTCCTACTTATAGATAGAAAGTAGTGTGTGATTGGTCAGGCATTTGGGTCTTATGAACCCTACTTGTATATGATTGTATTCATTGAACCTATTCCACTGTGTGACCTGGTGTATTCATTGAACTTGTTTAACTGTGTGGTCTGATCTATTCTTTGAATCTGTGTCACAATGTGACCTGGTCTTTTCATTGAACCTGTGTCACTATCTGTCTATTCATTGAACCTGTGTCCCTATGTGATCTGGTCTATTCATTGAACCTGTGTCACTAATGTGTATATTCATTGAAACTGTGTCCATGTGTTACTTGGTACATTTGCTGAACATGTGTCACTATGTGATCTGATATATTAATTGAAACTGTGTCACTATGTGATCTGGTTTATTCATTGAACCTGTTTCACTATGTTGGGTGGTCAATTTCATGGCTATTTCAGTTGAATTGATGATGATATACCATTTTCTCCAACAGCCAGTTTGGTCTGATGATGAATACTTCAACACAGTGAGAGGGTTTATGTATCGACCCAGTGAGTATCTTGATAAATTATGTCAGCTATTACAAATGCTGTGGACCAGTACGCCAACTGAACACCCAGACCATGAAAACTTCAAACATGTGTTAAATGGTGAGTATCATAATTATCCTTTGAGTCGGTGCACATTAATTTTACTGACGCTAGGATCAGTGCACATATAATTTTACTGACACTAGGGTCAGTTCACATATAATTTTACTGAAACTAGGGTCAGTTCACATATAATTTTACTGACACTAGGGTCAGTTCACATATAATTTTACTGACACTAGGGTCAGTGCACATATAATTTTACTGACACTAGGGTCAGTTGACATATAATTTTACTGACACTAGGGTCAGTGCACATGTAATTTTACTGAAACTAGGGTCAGTTCACATATAATTTTACTGACACTAGGGTCAGTGCATATATAATTTTACTGAAACTAGGGTCAGTTGAAATATAATTTTACTGACACTAGGCTCAGTTCACATATAATTTTACTGACACTAGGGTCAGTTCATATATATAATTTTACTGACGCTAGGATCAGTGCACATATAATTTTACTGACACTAGGGTCAGTTCACATATAATTTTACTGAAACTAGGGTCAGTTCACATATAATTTTACTGACACTAGGGTCAGTTCACATATAATTTTACTGATACTAGGGTCAGTGCACATATAATTTTACTGACACTAGGGTCA